GGGACAGATGTTAAAGGGGACCAGACAAGCTGTCCAAATTAGTCTGCAGTGTCTCTGTGGAGCCACCACCCATTAGTACGGGAGAAGGATCTAGATTTGTTATTCAACGTTAACCCTACCTTTTGACCTGGGACTCACTTACCTTTTGACCTGAGACTTAGATTCTCTTGACTGGCTGAAACCAAGGGTGGGAGAGGAGCCTTCTGGGATTCTCCACTACATCCTGTCATGTGAGCTGTGAGTCACAGAAAATAAAGCTTCTCTGACTTCACCGAGATCATAGCCAGTGTCGAGGTCATGAGCGCAGTGTGCAATTCAATTCAAAGTAAAAAAAGGTAAAAGCAGAACTTTTTTCTATGAGAAAAGAGAATGAGGGTCTTCAGCTATGAAGCACTGGGGCTGGAGGCCAATGAGAAAATCCAGTTTGCTGCTTTAAGTGTTGGTGGACCAGTTGGTGTCACTGCTCCCTGTGGATCAGGCTGTCCAGACCAATGCCCCAGTATTGGTTCAGCCATTTCATCTTCCGAGACTCTGTAAGCTCCACAGCCCCCAACAGGAACAGTCAGCAGGGCCTGACGAAGTGGCGCGCCTCTCACAGTCGCGCTCTCTGGGGTGACGGGGAATCCCCAAGGTTCGAGAAACCCTGGACAGACTAACTTCAATCTGGCCCCCTGTGAGGTTGGAGCCAAGTGACACGATCCGGGCTCTGACGGGAGAGAGCACCGAACACCGCTCCGGAGCCCCAGGGCCGATGTCCAGACGCCATACCTCCAGGCCGCCAAGTATGGTCTTGACTTCCCGTGTGGCAGCTCCCGTGTGGAGAGAGAGAAGCAGTGCTGCTCTGCTGGGTACCCCTGCCCACTGCCCAGCGGGCCTCACTGCGTGCCACAAGGTAAGAGAAGGAGAGAGCAGGAGTGCCAGAGGAGCAGGCAGAGAGCACCTGCCCTGTGCCGGTAGAGAGCTTGGTAAGAAGGGCTCTTTACAGGGCGATTCCAACACTGGGAGGCAGTGTAAAATACTTTAGAATCTTTACCTTCAATTAGAAAAATAGAGACCGCGACCTGTAACAGTGGGAAGAGTTTAACGGAACCACACCCCCTTAAGATGGGAGGGG